ACCACGAAGAGGAAAAAATTAGGTGGTTTATCTTTTACTCCTGAACACCATCCTGTGTGTGGTTAAACAAGTGACAAAAAGTCCATTCAAATAGATCTATGCCATCTCATCTTGTGCATACGGAATACAAGATTGACGTTACAAGACGCCTTTCAAAGTTATCTACCAAATACTGACTAATCTTAATTTGACCTCCACAGTCCATCTGTGACATTATAGCTGAGGTTATCAGAATCCACTTTGGGAAGAAGCCTAACTTGAACATGTGAAAGAAGCTGGTTTAGTTGCTTTCCTTACCTTAGTCATCAATGTTTTAACTATCCTTAATATCATCTGATATCCTATTAAGTGTTTATTTCTCATTCTCAAATGACTCCATAGACTGTATTACTGTCAAATGTCGTCCCAAACACCTCCCCATATATAAGCAAATCTTTGTTACAAACATGTACATTACTCCTAGTTGCTCACTATCATATCTATGAATTTTTGCTGACTAATTCACCATGTTTGGTGCTGCTGACTCTGACAACTCTCTATCTGTTATTATTGGTGACTTCAACTCCTTGGACTGCTCTTTCCTGAAAGTAAGTGGTCATACAAACAGTCGAATTTCCCACTCAATTATACAAAACATCTCGATTTAGTTTTCACAAATGACGAAGGAGTATATGAAACACATAAACGTGCACCGATACTTAACTCAGATCACTGCATTGTTCGTGTTTTACCAAAAATATACAGCAAAACACATATCAAAATCTTCTCACACCTGTCTACGAAAGCACAACAAAGAAGCTACACATCTGACAACTTACTCAATCTCCGGTGCATGTTAAAAAAAATACTAAGTGAGATTTATTCAATGGAAGTACATTAGATGACACAATCGCCAATATAACGGACTATCTTAAGTTCTGCCTCGATATATGCTGTCCTAAACAAACATTATTCAAAAGCTTCGACCGCTTCTAGTCTCCTCGTCTCAAACAACTACGCAGGCAAAAAGAAACATTATATAAATTCAAAGATAAGTTAGGGCTTAGAAAGATCAATGCTGTGATCAAATCTGAAATCGAAAATCTCAATGTTATGTATAACCACACACTTTTATCATTCAAATCTCCTACAAACATGTGGAAACTTTTCAATAAAATTACTGGCAATAGTAAGCGATGTAATGTTTTTCCCTCTTATGATGTTAACGCTCTTAATCAGTCTTTTATACGCTCCCCTTCTACTATAATTACTTCTAGTGTTACAAATCATGCAGCTGATAACTTTCATGACTTTATTACTCTTGATGTTTTAAAATGTCTTAAAACTCTTAAGCCCTCACGTAGCCTTGGCCCTGATAGTGTACCTGCCTATGTTCTAAAACAATGTGCAGATGCTTTGTGTTCTCCACTTACTAACATTATAAATGTTTCTTTTTACAAAAACGTTGTACATGTTGCATGCAAAGACATTAAAATAATCCCTGTCCATAAACCTGGAAATAGCAAGAATGTAAAATTCAGACCCATTGCCATTACTGCCCCGTTTCTAAAGCTGATGGAAAAAGTAGTAATTCTTAAACTTGAACCCTCCCTTAAAAGCTTTGAAGATCCCAAACAATTTGCATATAGACAGGGTAGGAGCACTTTAGACGCTGCAGCCGTCTTACACAACAGTATCGTCTCATCATTAGATAAAGGTGCCAAATATGTTCGTTGCACGTTCCTCGACTTTACTTCTGCTTTTGACTCTGTACCTGGATGTCCTTTGCTAAATAAGCTCTCTATGACACAAACTGAGTCCTGGGTCACAAACTGGTTGCATTTCTACTTCTCAAACAGAACACAGTACACTGTATACATAGTTAAATCCTCTTTTGCTATGCTCACTGCATCTGATGTCCGCCAAGGTGCTGTACTCTCCCCACTTCTCTTTTCTTTCTTTCTATATGACTTACCATCTTCGAATGACATAAATTTTTTTAAATATGCTGACGACCTAACTGTGTCTTTGCCTGTCAAGTGTCAAAGTAACTGCTCCAAACTAAATGGCTTTTTATCAGAAATCAGCCAATGGTCCAAGGAAAACGGTCTGACCTTAAATCCCTCTAAATGCCAAAAACAGTCAATTTCACTTTCAAGTATAAACATGACCTAAACAAACTAGTTAGCAATCACGAGGTGTGCAACATAGATGAATAGCACTGAAATACAGACCAAGTCAGAAATTAAATACCTAGGCGTCATTCTGCTGATATTTTCTGGTTGTCTCATATCTTGATTATTTCTAAGAAAATATTCCGTCTTACCTTCTACATCAAGAAGTTAAGATATTCTGGGATAACCCACCCAACCCGTACTCTTACGATTCGTTAACTCTTACATCCTGCCTATTATTCTCTATTGCTCCCCCCCTTAGTTTTTCCAGGGCTACTGAAGAAAGACTATACCTTATTACGTAGGATGTTAAAGGTTGTCAGCAGGATAAGCAATGTGCCACTCAACCAGCTTGTTAATATTCTGGTCGACAGACACATGTACTAATATGAAAAATGGGCTAAATCAATCCATTCTATCTAACTCACACCACCACCCTCTTCATTCACAACTCTCCCCTTGTATCACATCAGGTGAAACCAAAAGCCTATATAGAAAACTATATGCTCGCACTAGCAAGTTCAAAATCCCAACTCAACCATACCCTACTTAGCTCGTGTTCTGTGCGATAAAGAAAGCATTAGGCGTGAAACCTTTAACTTATTAAATAGTCAGTAGAACAATTGGATCTCTTCTTTCCAACTCATATCATTTATGGTTACAACATATTCTTTCTCTTCCTTTTCTCTCTCTCTTTTCTGTTATGCGCTGGTTCGTTTCTCTCTTTCCTACAAACTCTACTTAGAACATTCTTCTTCGTTCTTTCACACTCTGTATATCTCAACCTGTTTGTTACCGCTTACGCCAGTAGATATGCTAGTATCTACTTTTCTAACACCTTCAAACATTCTGTTCACTTTTGGTTTTGCTACCGACATGCCAATATGTTGTTGTTATAACTAACTGAGACTATCCTTAATCCATGTAGAATTTTATTTGTTGTTAATGTACTAACTGGATGCAATACTGTATGTAGTAAAATGCTGAGAATTCCATTGTGTATCACAAGTACTGTTTTGGAATAAAGCAAATTAGTATTATTATTATGTATCATAATAACGTTACTCTACACTACTACGAGTAGGTGGTTACACCTAAGACAACCATCACCACCCATTTCGTTTTAAGAGTAAGAATAGTGTAATGAAAGAAACGTCAATCTAATTAGTCCCTAAATTAACAAATTCCCAAGCTTTATGATTGCTAAATAAATGACTATTTCAGAAACTAGTGTGAAAAGGTATGTCACAAAATACAAAAAAATTGGACAATATAAATTTAAGTACGAATGTTCGCAACTGCGAGTTGAATCAATGTGTACACAATGAACGTCAACATAATGTCAAAAGTATTTGTGTAGTAGTCACACTGTGTCTCGGATACTATCTGTCAAACAGAAAAGATGGTGCTACACGACTGAACTACATCGACTCACCACTAGCTTAAAGACAGGGAGTGAAGTTGTAGTTGGGATGTTGCACCGACCACAACGGGCTGATCGCTCACGAAATCTCAGCACGGATACAGAAGGTTTGTTTGTCATTCGCCAGCTTAAGCCATATTTGCCATAAACGTGATATACGGCTACCTATCGATTAAATGACTCATGTACTGAACCGCATCAGTTCGCTACATCCTCCTTTATAGCTATTGGATAGTGGAAGATATGAAAAGACTAGCTATCTTTGATCATAGGTGTCTTCGTCCTAGCTACCGTGTTAGGTGGTACGATAGGATAAGTAATATTGAGGTTAGATGTCGAGTACTTGTTAGATGAGGAGGGAAAATAAAAATCGATGAGGTTGTGAAGTTACATTGATTGAGGTGGTTAGGATATGTGTTACGCATATAATCCTAGCGACCGCCTGCCTCGACTGGTAATGCTAGCTGACATAGGATCGGTGAAATTGGTAAAGAGCTAGAGTGGCGGTCAAAACAAACACATGGCTTCATCAGTCAATCAAATGCATAACAGTTAGTTTAAGCCAGCCAGTCACGTAGGGAGGTGTAGATTTCCTAGGGTCCTAGAGATGGTAAGAATCAATGACAGCTGGAGAAAAATGGTGATAAGGCTTAAAAAACCGTTCTCAATGGATGGCACAGATGCATTCATCACTCTTTTGTAGTTCATCGTATCCAGTGCAATTCTATTGTTCTCCCATATTAAATTTTTTAAACCTCACTCGCACTTCTGTTTATTCTCTCTTTTATGAATCTCTCTTTAACCTCTTCTCTAGCTTTGTGTGCTACAAAGAGGAATTGTGACAACTCGAACTGCTGCACATATCTGTGCAAAGTTCTACTTTGAAATCAGTCAGTCATCTTCATCATAATACTTGTAGATCACAAACTATTTTTTCCTCTTTGGCGATGAAACAACACTCCCTCCCCCCTCCTGCCGGAGCATTCTTCGTCATGGTTTGACGACTAAAAGCTTGTGACGGGCAAACATCGCTCATATTACACATGACTCGAAATACATTTAATCTAATATATATAGTAATAATAATAACGAAATGCGTCGGTGGCACAGTGGTTAGGACTCTCGCCGACCATGCACATGGTCCGGGGTTCGAGCCCGCACCGACGCACATCTGATATCTATGGTCGGCCTGCAAAATTTGGGCTACCGATATCCATGCTGAAAATTCCATACTTGTACCGAAAATACAGTATGGAATCAAGCTGTAAATCAAAAATCAAAATCCCCGGCCACTGACGCACTCCTCCCTTACCTCACTAAGCCAAAATAATGCTGGTAGTAAAGAGGAAAGGTTGGGCATGAGGCCAGAAATCCTATATCCTGTAAAAATAATCACAACTTCTACAGAAACTTCAAGCTACTAGCTAGCTTGAGGCCCTATATTCCACTGGGAAATAATAATAATAATAATAACGAAGACCTTGTTTGAAAGTGGGATGATAGTTTGATAATTCATCAAGATGTGGATCACGTGATGATGTAATATTTGAATAACTTTTGGGAATTATTACAAATAGGCAGTAGAAAAAAGAAAATAATAATAACAATGTCAAGAAGCATCAAAATATATATATAACACAAGGAATGAAAGGTACATAGGATCTACACACACGCATACCTGTTCATCATCAGAGTGATTCACAATTTCACCGTCTGGCGTTATAAACAACATACAGACGAAATGTATATTTACTTCTTGGTTGGTTGAATAGTAGTAGTAGTAGTAATAATAATAATAATAGTGGCAGTAGTAATATTTACTATGATGTAATAGAGAGAGAGAGAGGGGGGCGGGGGGGGGAACCAATATGAAGCGAAAAATGTTCCTTTATTTTTTTTTAGAAAAGAAAGTCAATTTTGAAAGCACTTTACAAAACAAAGAAGCAATTTTTCTTTGGAATATATATAACAGGATTAATTATATAAAAAACAAAAAGAAATCCATCTCATCAATGGAAATTTGGAAGGGTAAAAATAGTGAAGTTAGTTTTTGTAATAGTATTTATTATTAAAAAGACTCGATTGTATACGTTTGATGATAGTCTGTCTCTGTGGTAGGAGGGAGAGAGAGAGAGAGAAAGAAAGAGATTAATTAGGAATCATTGTCATATCAGTTAGTCAGTCAGTGGTGGTCGTGGTGGTTGTAAAGCAAATGAAAAAGGGAATAACAGCAAAATAAGCCAACTTTTAATAATAAATACGAAAGAAAGTATTCTGCTGATTATTATGATTATAAATGACAAATTCAATATGTCTTCCTAAAAATTAGATTTCAAGGTCTGACATGCACACACACACACAAACACCGCTTGTCATAGGTATCAAAAAAAATAAATAAAGTAGTGAAAAGCATTTGCTGATATATGTATAATGATGAGGGCTATTCAACAATAAATGAGATGATAACAAACAGACAAACAAACTCTGAAATTATAAAACACAGTCCCCCCAAGAACCTTTTTACAACACACACACAGACACACATCCTGCTAAGTTAAACCCATTGGAGCATGACTTTGTAGAGTGTTGGATCTTGAAGTTCTTGGACTATGCATGGAATCATCTTCTGAGGCTGTTGCTACTGCTACTCCCGCTCCTCCTCCTCCTGCTGCTGCTGATAAACGTGATGATGGATGCCTGGAAAGAGAAGCACACGGCCAATCTTGTAATTCATATTTATTTTTCGACAGGGAATTACAACGGGATCGTGTTGTGAGTGGATTTTCACATTGTGAATCACCATTTAAACTGATCGGGTTCTGAAAGTGACTTTGAGATAGTGTAAGGTTATTTGATACTGGTGAGGATACAAATGGGGAAGGGGGTGATTGTAGCGATGTCATAACTGAGACCGGAGTCGATAAGGAAACATTTGGACTAGCAATCGATGAATTACACTTATTGGGTGAAAATTCTTTAATAAGATTACCAGTATCTCCTCCAGCGCCTGGACTTATCCACATAGTCATACCAGCTGCAATTGGATTAGAAGCAGAACGATTACGACACATTCGACGTTGATGAGAAATAAGGCTATACTTTTGTCGAAAAGCTTTTCCGCATTGATAACATTTATGCGGTTTTTCGCCTGTATGCGTTCTTAAGTGTTGAACTACATGACTTTGTTGACGGAATAACTTGCCGCATAAACGGCAACCATAAGGACGTTCACCGCTATGTACACGCATATGAGTAGTGAGTTGGATTTTTTGTTTGAAAGCTCTACCACAATGAATGCATGGATATGGTCGCTCATCTGTGTGCGTACGCATATGTTGGACTAGACCTGCTTTAACAGAAAAAGTTCTTGAACATGTCATGCACTGAAAAGGTCGGTCAACTGAACTATCTTCTTCTTTCCCATCTGTACCATTAATTGAACTTAAAGGTGAAATTTGAAGTAGACTTGAACCAGATTGATTTCTTTGTTTGTTAAATCCCATCATATTATTATTATTGTTGTTGTTTGTGAGAGAACCACCGGTAGCAGGAAAGTTAAGTCCGAAAGCAGCGGCAACAGCAGCAGCTGCCGCTTGAGCGTCCGTAGTTGCTCCGGACAACCCAGTGGAGTAATTCGATTTCATACAGCTCCCTGTATCATGTGATAAAGAACGGGATACTATAGGAGTAGCGTAACTTGTTCCAGAGCAAAACAAGTTATTATGAACAGGAGACGGGGTAACTTCGAAAGGTTGATTTTCGTGTGAAGACCGGAAAAGGGAATGATCGGTAGAACCAACAGATCTACTGGATTGTCCAACTAGATCGGGATCAGATCTGCCAAAAAAAATTAAAAAGTATGTTAATTTTACAATTTTTTAAATGGGTATAAACTCGAAGTTTTCTCATTGGGAATTTGACACACTTCACTAAAATGCAAGTTTTGTAAAGTAAGAGAAGCATTACCACAGTACTAAAATTTTATTGGACACTGGTTAGTAACTAGTGTAATGTGTCCGGTCAGAAATTTAGCTTATCACGAAAACGATTTCCAACAGGTTGCAGACTTTTGTTAACAGCTGCCAGCGTAGCTGGCACCATAATGAAGATCAAATGGCCAGAGAGAATAAGCATCAAGAAACTCCGGCTGGGAACAAAACAACCAAGAGCCGATCACTCGACAAATATGTAGGATAAAGTGGGGATAGATTGCGCATACATTTAGGAGACCGCCGAATGACATCGCGCGCAAGGCCATTGCTCGAGTGGAATCCCAGCGGGTATCGACGGGTGGGTCGTCAGTGCAAGAGTGACATGGAGATCGCGTGAAAAGGAGATGAGAGATTGTGGACAATCGTGGTCCAAGCTGAAGAGGACGGCAGAAGATAGGAAAATGTGGTGTTGTTGAAGGCCCATGTTCCACTAGGAACTCAAGGGAATAATAATAAACAACAGCAATGCTTCTAGTCCTTTATTTTTACTGCAGACTGAATTCTATCAGTTAAGTTAGCAATGTGGCCACCATCAGCTAAGGTGGCTTGCCATCACGATGCACTTTGAATTGTTGATGTTAGATGGTTGGAGGCAGTCGGCAGGAAGCCTAGCCTAACGTAGACTACGAGCTAGTTAGCACAGGTTCGAATCTCAAAAGTGGAATGAGTCCCTTCAAGGTTGCAGATACACCTTGCTCACTGGTGAGTGCCAACTAGCACAAAACCTAGGTCCAAGGCTTCCCATCGATTGCTTCCAACTATCTCATGATGTACTAAAATTCTAAAACAACCTGTACAGTTATTACTATTTCATTTATTTGGCACGAACATACAGGGCTTTTAGGTGACAATGCTTCAAAACCACATAAACACATGCAGTAAGAAAATTAGCAATACTTACGACACCGTTTCACAATGGCGTAAAACCAAATCACAAAGCAATAAAATAAGACTAAGATTGAAACAAACAGTGAACAACTGTTGGAACAGATTACTTAATCATTAACCATTTTGCCACCCTCCCTGAATGTTTGTAGGCGGTTAAAAATTAACAGTCAGATTAACACAGACAATAATTGTTCATATCTTAAATCTACTAACAATGTAGTATGGCCCACACTGAGGGAAACTGTTCAAACGGTAACTTCACAAACGGCTACGAGTACTTAAAGGTTACAGAATAGCCATGCAGGCTTGATTTCTGGTAGACAGCTAAATGGCTAGCTTACATATTATAAGGGAATTACATAAAACTTTCATTTCTCTGGTGTTTCTGACCACGAAGTTTTGGAAATTGTTGCAATTCGTTTACTTTTTAACACTAAACCTGTGGATATAATCTTGTTGACTACTAATACCTATAACTAACTGTTTGGCATTTTGTGACTTTTAACACTAACTCATATCTGTAATTGTATATAATGTTGGATTTGAATGTTCAAAGATAGGAATTCAGGTGAACATAGAGAAAACAGAGGTGATGAAGATTCCTGGTCAATAGCAACAACAATAGACAACAATCACCCAGGATAAATGGGAGGAACCTGAAAGAAACAACCTCCTTTACCTACCCACCTACCTGAGAAGCATCGTTTCAACTACAGGTGGAACTGACGAGGATATCAAAGCCAGAATCGGAAAAGCAAGACAAGCTTTCACTACTCTCAAGCACTCAGCATCAAAAATAAGATCCGGATTTTCAACTCCAATATCAAGTTGTTTTAGAAACGAAGCATTCATTCGAAGGTAAGGTATTAATTATTAGTCAGTCAGAAAGTACTAACATTCCCAAATCCGAACACCGGAGAGGGACATCCGTGACTCAAAATAGTTCAGTAGGTTAGAAGAGACTATAGGCAATAATTTACATGACGCATACCTGTCAAATTAAGGATGACTGTATACAGTTAGTATTTACATCGATGCATCAGTAACTCATTCGTATTACTAAAGACTGAGCACTTACCAGGTCTAAAACTTTCTCAGACATGAATAGAAGCAATTTTAACATCACTATTTCTATAAGGGTCACTTGTGTTGTTTTTTTAACTGATGGTACACCCTTCCATTGAACCATATTTACCATATTAAAAAAAGCATTCTATTTGGATGCCACAAAGTGGTATAATTAAACTAATTTAACGATGAGATCTGGCTCATTGGCATTAGCATTTGACTTTTAACGCAAAGATGCCAGGTTCGAACTCAGATCTATTCATTTAGGCGAGTAGACAGCCTTACAAATCCACATCCAGTGTGATCCATTCTAGTAAATAAACTGTTATCAGGTCAATGAGTGGCATTATATCACATGTGAGAGATAATTGACAAGTAACAAGTTTAGGACATGTCAATCTAATGTTGGCTCAAAAACACATAACACTGCCAAGTGTATGACATGTACAATTTGTTTTTCAAACCTTGGTGACAATATACTGTACAAACTGGACTAGTGACTAACAAAAACAAGATGAAAAGTGGAAATATATGTACTGATATGATAGATTTAAAATATATCATTAGACATTTAATATTTACCCTAAGGTAGAAAAACATTTCACATATGATATGGTGGGGATGATTCGTAGCGTCGGTGGCACAGCGGTTAGGACGGTCGGCGACCATGCACATGGTCCAGGGTTCCACTCCTGGCCACCGACGCACTCCTTTACCTCGCCAAGCCAAAAAGAATGCTGGTAAAGAGGAAGGGTTGGGCATGAGGCCAGCTACCACTGCTACAGAAACTTCAATCCTCTATCTGGAAGCCCTATTTTCCACTGGGAACATGAAAGAAAAAAATTCTTATCTCAGGTAGATGATTTTGGTTTGGTTGCCTTCTGTAAGCTGGATTGTGGTGGTGTTGTCTAGAAGGATGATAAAGCTTCACAATTAAAGTAACCAGCGCACAGAACACAATTAAATCAAAAACTATTTCACATTTCCCCACATATGGCTCAACAAGTCGAAAAGGGAAATCATGAACTGCATTATGAACAGGATTGATCCTGCATATATTGATATAAAGACGGATATCGACGGAAACATACACTTTTCTGTCTATTATTAATAATATTACCTACCATATGATAGTGTACATTGTCATCATCCACAAGATGATTGTATCTTACAGAATAGATACTTCTTTTGCAAGTTCCTACTTAAAACAAATGAAATTTATAACTGATGTGGCACAACTCAAGGCGCTGAAATAAATAAAACCAGACTGTGGCTGGTGCTAGGTGTGATCCAACAATCTCATGATAAGTAGCACTTATTTATTTATTTTATTTTTTTATTTTTGATTACAGCTTGATTCCACACTGTATTTTTGGTACAAGTATGGAATTTTCAGCATGGATATCGGTAGCCCAAATTTCGCAGGCCGACCATAGATATCAAGGTGTGCGTCGGCATTTATCAAAACTGAGATTGTGAGGACACGAACAATTACAACACTACCCAAACATAATCTCAAGAGTGTCGTAGGGAATAAGGTGTGGTACGTGCACCCTACAAAGTAATGTTCGAAAAAGTGGTTTTTAGCTAATGGTTTTGAGATATTTGACATATTAGACAACAAGATTTAGTGATTGACATTATGGTTCGGTACCCGTTAAACTGTTATGCTGTCATAACTTAAGACGCTGAATTATGTGAATAACTATTATCTATATGGTGAAAGTAATAGCTACATCCCGAGCAACCAAGTATAAAACCTAAGGTCTCTAGCATCCAGCGACGTTTCTTGGTCAGAGTTATTTGTGGGGATGTATAAATGAATATTATCTAAATTGTTTGACTTAGATATAAATTACATATGCTTCCCGGGAATTTTTTTAAAACGTGGTACCATAACATAAGTTGGACTACAATGAAAGAAATTGAAGGACAGCTAGATCAGGAAGCAGCGTAAATCCATGGGATCATTGGTTGTTGGCTGGCTATATGCAGAAGAATATCTTACCCGACTGAGTTATACATGATCAATTACACTTTATTATATTAGCTAAGGTCATGAATTGATGATAGAGGCACCGTACCATCATTTGGTTCTCAGTATCACACTACACCACTTCTATAATGTCTATCTTAAAGCAAAAAATTTTATGACATTGATTATCCTCATAACCTCACTTGTGTAATGAGGAACACAAACTCCAATGTATACAGAGAGAATTAGAAGTTGATGATTTGTACAAAATGAAGTGTTATTAGGACGAATATTGTATTCTGTATAACTTTCTTATCAAAACTATTACCAAGCCTGCAACCTCACATTTTATTTTTAGCGAGTCGTTCAATCAGCACATGCATATCCTTGAAAATAAAACAAGTAGTTCGACTGAACGTAGCATAGACCCCTCGACAGTGAAGAACTCAATGTGTTTCTATGGTACTCTGTCAAGCATATCCTTGATACAAATGCAAAAAACTATAAAAGTATCAGAAGCCTCAATATCTGCATTTCAGAAAGCGCAGTCGAAGTTATTATATTAGTCAATGTGACAACCCAGCGATGGTAGCCAGCTTGACAACCACCCAAGACATGAAGTGAAAACAATGCACATTAAGTTGGTTTAAACCTTTGAACGAGTTTACACTCTGAATATAAGGCTATATAAATAATACCTAAGTGATACACAAAATTATTCAACAGTTAACTACAAACTGAAACAACTTACTTTATAACATCTGGACAGGAGAAATGATTCAACGTTGATGGGAATAAAAAGGGTGTCGTAGAAGTAGCAACAGCAGCAAGAAGTGGAGATGCTGAATTAATCAATCCCGATGCGATACATTGCGGTAACAGAGAAAAGTTAGGAGCATTATTCGGAAAACATGGTTGTGTATGGTGAGACAGCATTGTATTTGGAATGTCACCAGGAAAATTGTTAAGAGGTGTTAACTGACTGTTTGAAGACCCAGGTATTTTGGGGTCATTGTGTTCTATCTCGTTGAAAACTTGAGATATAGCACCCAGCTTCTGAATACACTTCTGCAAATAATCATTTGTAAAAGAATCATAGTCGATTTTTTGCTTGAGCTCCTCAATCGACATTGATAATTTGCAGGACTGCTCCTCAAGTGCTCGTCTCTGATCAATCACAGAGCTAAACTGATCCGCTTTCAAACAATCCAATTGGGGGGCTTTGTTATCTCCAGGAAAACGAGAATTCCACAGCTCGAGAAACTGGCTGAAAAAGTTCATCAAGAAAACCTAGCAACGTTATTTATCAGAAGTTGAAAGTGTGGGAATCTTATTGAATAGAAAATTGATAGTCCAGTTAATAATTCGTTGTAATACTCACAAGTAATCTTCCTGTATTATATACAGTGAGTGTCGTATGTATAATTATGCTGCATTAAATATCCCCCAGCGTCAAGGTACACGTGACAAAAAATCTGGTAAGCCACACAGCCTAGAGTTCTTGGTAGTGTCAGACAAGGCACATTGCGCAACCATCAAATTTCCCACATCTACAACAAGTATTTTAGCTATCTATTTTGAAACCATTCAATAAATATTTTTATTCGAAATTATTGCGAATTATATCTTTTTGAATGCACATTCAGGAATTTGTTGTTTAAATATTTGTTACCATAGTGAAAAGCACGTATATGAAAATGACCTTCGAGTTGGTTAAATACACTAATTTTCATTTTATAATATTTTTTGCATTTTTACTGGTCGTTATTAATATTTTGAAATGCATTCATTGTTTTCTTAAATTATTCACGTAATGAGAGCAGCAAACGATTATATATGCACAATTCGAGTGCATAGAGATACCTGAAATTGTTCTAAATCTGATCATATATAAAGATTCTAGCAAGCGAACATATTTTTCTTTGGCTTTAGTTATACTGAATAAGTTATGAAACTTTTCTTCATGCTATCATGTGAACGAGAAGTTTTACCTGCGTTCTTCAAGATTGCTCGATTCAGATTATTAGGATAGAAGGCTCTTGTTCCTTTGTTGGTCTTTGATATATATATCTTTGCAGAGATCTAGGTTCCCTTTGAAAGCGTTCATCGGTGGAGCTGTTGCTACTGAATCGACGCGCGCTCCTTGAATACGACGTGCTTCTTCCTCTCCAACCGGAAAATACCAATTCTGTGAATTATCCGTTTGGGAAACCTGATCTTCCTAGCCGGTGAATTTAATTCAACCATTACTTACATAGTAAATCTCTGTGTGGTAAGTCCAGCTGTCTCGAACTACTGCCAAAGCTTCAGGTGCTACTTTTGTAGCAGCATCTTCCTCACTCGTTCAGAGAAACAAGACTTGTTGGTCTACCACGTGATTGCCGTGAAGCCGATCATTCAGAAAGTACTAGGTAAAGTCGAAAACCTTTTCTTTTCCTTGCCTTACACTTTTTCAGTCTTATTCTTGCTCTTTTGGTTAGAAACTGTTGCTCTCTTAGACGTACATAGCATAATTTATAGTGATTGTTAATATGGTTGTTGAAAGCAGCCTTAAAAAAGCCACTAGAATACCGTACTCTGTAGTCACAAGGGCTTCAGCCAGGGAAGGAAAAAATCCAGGGATTTCAACCCCTTCCCGCATACCGATCCTAAAGACTCGTGTAGCTTTAGTCTGCCCTGATACAACGCCTGCATTGCCACAGTCTAGTACTGAAACGGCACAGGCAATACCACAAGGACAGAATTCTACACCTGCATCAACTGTAGGCCAGTGTGTGAAACACATCAAGCCTAAAAGGAAACGTTCAAGACGTCATAAGACCTCGAAGGCGTCATCAAGGAAAGGGGATGAATGCCAGGCGTGCAGCATCACAGTTTCTAAAACTGATTCAGCGTTTGAATGTAATTTTTGCAAACGATGGGTGCACTGCCGTTGTGACAAAGAAGTACCGAAAGCATACTATGAGTTTATGAGAAATAACCCATGCCCATGGTTTTGGTACGTGTGTCCACTTTGTCGCCCTGGCATAGTCCCACAAAGCGTGTCTGCGGATAGCAGAAATAACATGCTCTTGTGCCCCAACACAGTATCATGCAGCTCCCCCCTGCTAAACTCGCACTGCCGAAACTGGTCAAAGACTTAAAGAAGGACACACCAGCCCTACTGACTGGAAATGCCAATTCTCACAAGGTGAAGATTAGCAAGGTTCCATCCACATCAGGGGAGGGCAAAATTACAAAGGCACCACTTGCATCCACTAGCAAGCCTGGCAACACAAAAAAGGCTGTCCAGGTACCGACGAAGCCTAATGTTGCTAATGATGCAAAGGACTGCAAGAAGCCGAAGGCAAAACCTAAGTCTGAGGGTAGTCGGTCTAACTCTCTCATCCTCTTTAACGTACCTGTGAGCACGGATAGCTTGCTCGAACAACGGGCCCTGTTTGATCAGGAACAGTGGTCCAACCTGTGTGGCAAACTAGGTCTGAACATTAGTTCAGCAAAACTGTGCAGACTGTACAGGGGTGTCCACACGCCTCAGGGTAAGCCACCCCCATTACGGGTTACACTGGACTCTGCCGAAGAGGCCGAAAAAGTACTGTTAATGGCTCAGGTACTAGCCCTGGACAGAAGTTCTAACATAAGAGCGCGGCAAGATAGACCATGGGCCGTCAGAAATATGGCGAGGGAGTCACCGGAACTGATGCCTTCCACCTCTATGGTGGTACACGGTGTTCCGGAGCTGGAAACCGGCACTGCTTGTGAAAAACACATGCACGACGTACAACAATGGAGATGGCTGTCATCTCAGATGGCCCCTGGCGCTTCTGGAGCCATCTCCATTTTCCGACTACCTCGTCCCGCTCATCTAACATTGATTAACTCTCCAAAGCTGCTGTGTGTCACATTCAACTCCCCGGAGCAGTTGTCCATATCACTTCAACGGTGGTATGAGACCAAGGGAAAAATTGGAGGACACATCCGATGCTGTGAAAGCAGACCCAGAAATATAAGGAGGCAGCAAACTGAGGCTTTAATACGACCCCAAGCTTCGGTGACACTAGAGCGATGCAGCTCTGAGAATAATAGTCTGTGTCTCCCAAGTGTCCTGCCTAAATCCATTGAAAAAAACTACAACGGGCCGGTTCTATCGGAATCGGCCAACTAGTTCCAACATCAAGTCCCCCACCAGCAGACGGTTTCACGTCAACTACCCCACAACACTCTGAGGTTGTTAGACTCACTGTCAGTTGCCTATATAGCAATGTGAGGGGGCTGAGAGGGAAAGTAGGTGAACTCCGAAATCTCCAAGCACACCTTCAACTGAAAATAATCATTCTTACTGAAACGTGGCTAAACCCCACTATCGCCGACAATGAAATCAGTATAGGTGATATGGTACTGGTCAGGAGAGACAGGGATAATAAGGAAGGAGGGGGAGTTGCTATATACTTTGATAGGCAACTTAAATGTGTGCGCGCAACGGACCCACCACTTATCGAACTCCCAGACTCCATATGGTGTCATTTCACCGTAGGCCACACCAAGCACTTACTGGGTGGCATCTACCGATCTCCCACCTGTGGGGCAGAGCACAATCAGCTACTGCTCAGCACTATCACAGGAATACGAGATTTGGGCTACGACCAAATCACCATAGCTGGAGATTTCAATGCTCCATCACTGAACCTTGGCTCCGGGTGTGCTAAGGGAAAATTTGGCCGAAACCTACTGCAAACTATTCGAAACACGGGACTGACTGAGAATGTTGGAGACGACACTAGGTGGGGCCCTAGTGGAAAGTCATCAAAACTAGATTATATTCTAACTAGTGACCAGCTACTCGTCGAAAAGGTCCAGATCATGACTCCTCTGGGAAGCAGTGACCATGCAGTCATAGGTTTCGATCTTGTCCTCCGTGAGCGTTTGCAATGGGATGTTACGCGACCATGTCTGTGCTACAGCAAGGCTGACTATGCTGAAATGCGGAGGCTCTTGTCCGACGCAGACTGGCCCTTAGCATGGGACGACCTATCTGTGGATGAACACTGGGAAGTGGTAAAAAAGATTATCCATGCAGCAATCTCGGATACCGTCCCTTTAGTCACAACACAGCCTAAGAGAAAGACGTCATGGTTGAAGAGAGGCACGCAACGTATTCTGCAAGCAAAGCGGAGGGCTTGGTTTACGTGGCGTGTATCTAAGAGTCAGACCGACCATGATGCATACCTCGAACTCAGGAACCGGTGTAATGCAAGAGTTAGGAGGGACAGAAGGTCATTCCAGGCTAACCTTGCTAAAAAACTCCTATCAAACCCTAAAAACTTGTACCGATTCATGTCGGAAAGAAAACCGACAAACCAAGGGGCATGCGCCTTAGTAGGCCCAAACGGTCAATATCTCACTAGTCTGGAGATGGCTGAAACATTCAGTTCAGCCTTCGCTAAACAGCTAAACAGCAATGTGGATATTACAGTTACGGACCAAAATGGTGGCACCACTATTTCAGAGGAGGAAGACCTAGCGACTACTCCCCAAATAAACCCCGCAATAGTACTAAGGAAGCTACAGCGACTCATACCTGGGAAGTCCCCAGGTTGTGATGACATCAGGCCATCTGTTCTGAAACAGTGCGCCGAGGCTCTCTGTAGACCCCTGTGCGACTTGTTCCAACACTCAATGGATTCGGGGACCCTGCCAAGGGAGTGGAAAAGAGCCATCCTTTCTCCAATCTTCAAGGGTGGGGACAGGCAAAACGCTGCTAGCTATAGACCAGTAGCTCTACTCCCAGTGGTATCAAAAGTACTGGAAAGTATTATTGACGACCACATCAGGGAATATTTCGATAGGACTAATATACTGCATGAAGCCCAACATGGTTTCAGAAAAGGCAGATCCTGCGTCACTAACCTACTGTCAGCTTGGGACGACTGGACATCATGCTGGGACTTGAACGTACCAGTCCATGTGGTCTTCCTAGACTTTGAGAAGGCATTTGACACTGTTCACCATGACCTTCTCCTACATAAAATAAGACAGGCAGGCATAGGTGAGCCACTTCTGTCATGGTTGAAGGACTACCTAGCCGACAGGCAATTTTGCACTAAGGTTAACCGAGTCCGATCATCTTGGCACAGATCGTCATCAGGAGTGTCGCAGGGTTCTATCCTAGGACCACTGATGTTTTTGATTTTCATCAATGATCTACCACGCCGTCTGAGCTGCCCGACTCTCCTGTACGCTGACGACGTAAAAATATGGAGGGCGATAAAGTGTCCGGAGGACTCAGATAGGCTACAGGAAGACCTAAACCTTCTGGAAGACTGGGCGGTGGCCAGTGGCATGACTTTCAACTTGAAAAAGTGCAAAGTAGTGAAGTTGCGCACCTGTAGACTGCAGAATGCAAGTTACACCCTGTGCAATGAAAGCTTGTCCTGCACAACGTCGGAACGCGACTTAGGTCTAGTTCTAACGGAAAAAATGGACACAAGCGTAAATTACACAGGGGATGTAGCGAGGGCATATGCGGTCATACACTTTACGCATAGACAGTTAGGTGCACTCACTCCTGAGCTCTTTCTAATGTTGTACAAAACATACGTCAGGCCACACCTTGAGGTGCATAATATTATTGCACCCCCAATGCTGAGAAGAGATGCCAACCTCTTGGA